ACCTCTTAGTCACAGTCTGCACTAGTTAACTAGAAAACAAGCAAAAAATGTGACATCATTACTGAGAAATGAAACTCCTGTCTGAACGGGAAAACAAACTAAAGTTCATGCCCATACTGGTTTCACTTCACCTTTTTACTTTTGTAGTAAAATTCCTGAAGGTATGTGGTTGCATGTCCACATAATGTTCAGATATATGTTGCTCTCAGAAAGCTGCACAGGAACTGTGTTGGGCTGAGGACTCACCTGGCATTGTGTGATAGACACTGGGCCAGTACTGACCACTGTCCCTCTTCAACCACACACGGATTGTCCTAAAACAAATTAAAATAAGTAATTAAATATAATAAATAATAATCTTGATTAGAAAATGTACATACATCTGTTTACCAGACACTTTCTTACCAAAGTGACATGCAATACAGTGCACAAATTACCAGGACACACATCTAAGAATACATGTCGTTGGCTAAGATCCATCCTAATCACCTTATCGCCAGACATAAGACCTCAAACTAAATTTGGCTGCCAAGTTAAAAACGTAGCCAGGATCAGGGTATTTAAAATCATAGGGCTGGGACAAAATGGTAGGCCATATGTTTTATGGAATATATGTATATTAAGTTAGGGTTAGGTTTTTTTTTTTTTTTTACATAAAAACACTTTTACACACACACACACACACACACACACAGTGCTCTTTACGCGCTCACACTTTCACCACAACAAGTCTTTGCTATTTTATATTGTATATTTCCCCACAGTACTGCATACTAAATATCTTTCCAGTTCTCCTGGCTGGTTCTGGAAGTTGTCATGGGTCAGGGAGCTGTGGACGTTGACGTGAACTCTGTGCTCTTTCAGGGTGTTGTTTATTTGCATGAACAGAAAGAAGGCGTGCTTGCAATTGCAAAGCCAATCATATTAGGCTCATTACTCAATACTTTAGATAACGACAGGTTCAGTTCTTCTTTATTGCAAGCCTACAAATCTACCAAGACTTATATTCACAATAATGAAGACTGTACGTGTCGCCGAACTGCATTGAAAACCAAATAGTAAAACCATAACAATAATAGAACGAAATTTCGAGTCTTAATAAAATACCCTATGTAATTTTATTTGTGTATTGTCATTGATAATGTTTACACATACGTTCTTCTGCCTCTTCCCCTCCTTTTGTAAACGAGATTGAATGAAATGTTCCTCATTCACCACCACATTGTTTCGTTCTTTCGCGAATGAGTCTTGTTCAATCTCTATCAGATTCAAATCAGCGACTTATTCAGTAAAGGACGCATTTGTTCGTATTTGTACAGTAGGTTACTGATGAAATACTTAACAGAACGGACCTGAATGCTTTCTTTTCGTTTCTGTCCGTTTTTGAAGGCAGGAAAAGGTAGTCACGCGCTTCAAAGGGGACGACTGAGTGAACGAAATTGATTCGTTCATCTAAATTATTCCTTTAAAAACATCGATTCGTTCACAAGATCCGCAGGCATATGCTCGCTTTACAGTACGCGCAAACAAAATTCATTGATAGCAGCGGCTTAAATGATCCGTCTTTGAATATTAAAGCCTCTTTATTATTATCCTCCATTTGCACTCTCTATGTGATGATAACTGGGGATTGTTGCACTTTAGTCCTCCGAATATCGTTTATTAAACAAAAAAAAAAGGAAAAAAAGAGGATAAACGTGTATCGACTGTGCATGTCACATACATTTTATATTACATGTTATTTATTAATGTGCCGGTGCTGCTTATAACATTACTCTACACGTAAGGTGTTTTGGATAGTCTGCATTGTAATTCTAGTTATTGTTGTGGGTTTGTAACCATACACGTGCGCTGACCTGTCTTGAGATACGCTGATAACACCGTCCTCTTTGGGGATGATCACAGCCGTATTCACCACATCTTGGAAACCCTCGATCTTACTCAGCAGGACGGGCTTTCGTGTCTGTGGACGGGGATGAATCTCTGCTGCCATGGCGCTGTAGTTTCTGCGTCACCTGAATCCTCTCTCGGCAGCATAACACGCTGAGCGCAGGTCGATTAATAGACCTGCGGGCGGTCAGGGATGCTGCAGGTCAGCTGATTACCTCTCACAGCCCGTTCTGGTTACATTCAAACACGATCTCTATGCCATGTCCCCTAAAGACATGCACGTGTTCTCCTCTCACTCTCCACGTACACAGACGATCCGACTTTTGGAAGAGTCGCAGATGCATGCGTTTGCAATGTGCAGCGTTGACTCCGACGAATACCACATTTGTAGAAGCGGAAGTTGAACGTCATTTCTTTTTCCATATCATTGACATTTGTACAAAGGTTCATTGCACCAAATCTTGTACAGTTGTGCCTTTTGTTCAATGAAAACAATTAAACTAATCCTTTATGTTAGTTAAGTCTATATTGTTTTCTTTTTTTTTCTGTACATTTCTAATGAATACTTTGTTCTCAACAATAAAACCACAGAGTGGAAATTGTTCTATTTATATTTAGGCCTTATCATGTGCAGACAGGCATCACAGAACTATTCTCTCAACTCTACAAGAAAGCCAAACTAAATGTCTGCATCCCTTACTAGTTTCATTTCCCTTTAGCCTACTAGTTTTATATCCATTGCTAGTTTTAAAATATATAATTTTGCAGTTTATGTGACCAATAGACATGCAATTTATGCATATACTTTCCTGTGGGTTTTATAACTAAGTTCCTCATATTAATTGGGAAAGTTACATGCCAGAGTGTTAATATCTAGACCAGCTGACATATAATGCTAACTGGCAAACTATCAAATGGCAATTGGTCTTTTCCAGGTGCATTTTCTGAATATGCTTTCATGGACTGGTTATAACTCCAGTGAAATTTATAGGATTTAGAATTACTTGCACAGGACCTGCACAGTGCTGTTGTTTTGGTTGGCTTGCTTTTTTATATATCCTCTAACTTTAGAACTTCTAACTTTTTTATATCTTATAACTGTACAGTAGAGAAGATCTTTTGACCATTTTACTTGCATTGTGCAGTAAGAGTCTTTTATGCCAAGTAAACATAATACTGTGTAAAGAGGACAAGATGAACAACCTAAATATTAAAGCATGATCAAATGCTAGTTTGTTTCTCTATGAAAATAATATTTGCTTTCTAAGAGAAATCTACTGTAACTCTTTGTTAAATGGACAAGTGATTTCCTGAGTGGTTAAAAATTGTATAAATATAAACTGTACTTTCTGAAATTACTATCATGAAACCACTTTGTTATTAGTGCATTGTAGTTATGTGATGTGAGATACAGAAATGTATCAATGAAAATATTCAGTGTTCAAGACCCCTCTCTTTTTCTCTCACTCACTCATGTAGAATATGAGAATGAAAAGTGTTTTCATTTACTTTTTTATACAATTTTTGACCAAATGTCACATTCATAAACACAAATTTACTAAATACACAACTTTATTATGGAGGACGAAACCTGCAAAAACAATAAATAAATACACAAATAAATAAATAAATATGCAAATAAATAAATAAATGTGTGTATAAATACACAAATTCTTGTTTAAATACATATAGAAATAATTAAACATGTGATTAAAGTAGGCAAATACTTTCCTATTTATTTTCCTTTGATCACTCATTTATTTCTGAATGTAGTTCCACATTTATTTTTCCTCTGCGCAACATGCTAATGAGAGGGTGTTTTCCATTTGCCCACCAATTTATTTTATTTATTTGCCTACTTTCATCACATGTTTAATTATTTATTTATGTATTTAAACAAGAATACGTGTATTTATGCACACATTTTTTTATTTATTTGTGTATTTATTTATTTATTGTTTTTGCAGGTTTCATCCTCCATACTTTATGGTTTTGTTGACCTAAGTAAGGCTGCACAGTAGGGTGTACCCTTATTCTGTTTATATATTTGGCACCTTTTTTGTTTTATTTATTTATTTATTTTGTAGCCTAGTTGTTTTGTCTTTTTTCTTGTTTTTCCTGTTTTAATTTTGTATGTAAATGTTTAATATGTAGATTTGAATGTAAGTGTATAATGTTAATGTTTTTTCAGTCAAAAAAAAAACATCAATAGGTCTACAAACGCACATGCTCCCGTTGAACTTCGCTTTTTTGAGAATATGCTAATCGCTCATTTTCAGGTGCCAATCAGTTGAGGCGTTTTGACGCATAGTACTCGGGCAGCGCTTAGGAGGCGGAGTCAAGTGCTGAACGCAGAATAAAACCACTGCAGCCCGCGAGCAGAGCTCAGTGTGAGGAGAATCATGGACGTAAACTAAATAGAAAGTTACCATGATAAAAGTTAGGCATTTCTTTCAAATTACAGCAACAACACCCGTTTCCCTTGTAAATCAACAACCTTCCCCCCCCAGGGTCTGAGGTTTGCTTAAGTTTACAAGGCATCGCTCTTTCAACACTTAACTACAGTTACACTCTGACAGAAAGAATGCGCGAGTCAGTTAGCATTAGCCGGCTAGCAGCGTGCTGACAGCAGCGACAGGAGGCGAACAAAAGATTGCTCTGCATTTGTCCGCTTGCACTGACATTCGGTCCATGTAGGAGGGGCGATTATCAACACAATGCCCGTGTTACTTTTCCTGATAGACACGTCCGCCTCCATGAACCAGCGCTCCCATCTGGGCACTAGCTATCTGGACATAGCGAAGGGCGCAGTTGAGACTTTCCTGAAGGTAAATCAACACTCACCTCTGCTCCACACTCACTTTACTTAAAACTTACGAATGTAAGTGTATAATGTTAATGTTTTTTCAGTAAAAAAAAAAAACATCAATAGGTCTACAAACGCACATGCTTCCGTTGAGCTTCGCTTTTTTGAGAATATGCTAATCGCTCATTTTCAGGTGCCAATCAGTTGAGGCGTTTTGACGCATAGTACTCGGGCAGCGCTTAGGAGGCGGAGTCAAGTGCTGAACGCAGAATAAAACCACTGCAGCCCGCGAGCAGAGCTCAGTGTGAGGAGAATCATGGACGTAAACTAAATAGAAAGTTACCATGATAAAAGTTAGGCATTTCTTTCAAATTACAGCAACAACACCCGTTTCCCTTGTAAATCAACAACCTTCCCCCCCCAGGGTCTGAGGTTTGCTTAAGTTTACAAGGCATCGCTCTTTCAACACTTAACTACAGTTACACTCTGACAGAAAGAATGCGCGAGTCAGTTAGCATTAGCCGGCTAGCAGCGTGCTGACAGCAGCGACAGGAGGCGAACAAAAGATTGCTCTGCATTTGTCCGCTTGCACTGACATTCGGTCCATGTAGGAGGGGCGATTATCAACACAATGCCCGTGTTACTTTTCCTGATAGACACGTCCGCCTCCATGAACCAGCGCTCCCATCTGGGCACTAGCTATCTGGACATAGCGAAGGGCGCAGTTGAGACTTTCCTGAAGGTAAATCAACACTCACCTCTGCTCCACACTCACTTTACTTAAAACTTACAAAAAAACTGCCTTTTCGTTCGTTTTTCTCCACAGCTGAGGAGCAGAGATCCGGCCAGCAGGGGAGACCGATACATGTTAGTGAGTTTCGAGGAAGCACTGGCTGGAATTAAGGTACAAAAACACTATTTCTTTCCAAACCTGATTTATTTCACTCCAGAAAATCTCAGCGCTCGGCTCGTCTGCTTGCGTTTCAAAGCACCACTGCTAAATTTGTAGTGAAAACATTCTGGCCAGCATGAATTTGTGTGTTTAAACATGGCCGACATTTTGTTTAGTGTGGCAGCAGAGAACTCTTATGTATGCGTGTGTGTGTGTGCTTGAGGAAAGAGAGATGGGGGGCTAACCTAACTTAGTTTTCCCACCCAGAGAGAGGGAGGACTCTTCACTGCCCTCTACATTAATACCCCAAAGCAACTTTCAGATCATCGTGTCTATCTGAAGAATTTTGATGTGAGGATCTCTTAAATGGCATAACTAATAATTTTCTCTGTTTTGATATTTCAGGCAGGATGGAAGGACAGTCATGCCACTTTAATGACTGAGCTGAGGAACCTGCAAGCAGTTGGACTGACATCGTTCGGCCAGTCTTTAAGGACCGCTTTTGATTTGCTCAATCTCAATAGATTAATTTCGGGGATAGACAACTATGGACAGGTATGTTATAAACCAGGGACTGACTTTATACCAGTCTATGGCCTAGCCCCATGAGCCCATCCCCAACATCTCACAGTTAAATAAGCACCCAATAGGCTCACACTGCCAACACAATCCCAAGAGCCCCTGGTGACACACAGTAGTAATGAGTAAACTACATCTTGGATTAGGGCTGGACAATAATTCAATATCAATATGTATTGCGATATAATTATGACTAACTGAAGAACCAGGTCTTGTAGTAGGACACTGGTTATGCTTTGCACGCGTGCTCTAGTTAAAAATTCTTCCAGTTCTTTGTTTTTATTCTCAGGAGTTTTGTAAAGGATAGTTCTTGTATTTCTGTATGATGAGCTGTGAAAGTACAACAGATTCAACATTACCTCACATAGATGTAACTAAAATAGTAAATTATGGTAATATTTGTGACATTGATCACTCATGGTAGATTAACTTTTTTTTTAATTATTATTAATTTAGGAGGAATTTTCACTTCTTTTAAAAAAAATAAATAAAAATAATTCATGCATGATTCTAGGGTGTTCTGGGTGGTTTCCAGGGTGTTAATATGCAGATACCAAATATAGGGCTGCACAATTAATCGAATTTCTAATCATGATTACGGATGCCACAATTATGTAATCGTTCAAAGCGCCAATTAATCGTTCAAAGTCCACTTATGTTATTCTGCATGCTTAAGATGTTTTTTTTCTTAATGGTTTTTCCATTGCTTTAATTTTAGTTTTAATATAACATTTTTTTAATTCAAAGGGGTCATGAACTGCCTTTTATATTTTGTACTGTTCTCTGAGGTCAGCTTATGTTACCAAGATTTTTACATTAAAAAAAACATCATAATTCAAAAGTAATAGGTTGTTTCCGGTCCTGTTTTGACTCCCTCATCGTAATGCTCTGTTTGAATAGGCATGGCAGATTGTAGACTCGGGAAGTAAATGCCCACTGCTATGATTTGCTAACAGTTATGTATGTTTGACAGCCTACGTCCTTCATAGATGGATACTGCTGTGATTTAGGTTGATTTAGAGCCATCTTTATCATTTGATTTTTGCGTAGACCTGCGTTTGCCTCTCGTTATTTACACTACATGTGTGAATCGGTGGGCAGGGCTAAACAGGCAGTGATGTAGAAGCAGGTGTTGATCTTCTTCTATTTTTACATTAAAAAAAACATCATAATTCAAAAGTAATAGGTTGTTTCCGGTCCTGTTTTGACTCCCTCATCGTAATGCTCTGTTTGAATAGGCATGGCAGATTGTAGACTCGGGAAGTAAACGCCCACTGCTATGATTTGCTAACAGTTATGTATGTTTGACATTCCACAACCTGGCATTTTGGCAGATGGGCTTCGGTATAAGCTGTTTTTAGACAAAGTTTTGAGTTCTGAAATTTACAGGATGTTTTATAGTACAGTGACCTCTTATATGTCAAAAGATCAAGGGAAGTTTGATTTCTCAGTTCATGACCCCTTTAAAGAAACCAATCCAATATATAATTGACATTTGAGGCTTAATACTATATAAAAGCAATACAAGTTTTTCAGTTAGAGTAGGGTAGTGATGGTGAGGAAATTTTCCCACCGGTTAATCGAAGTATGACAACACCGGTAATACTGGTGTCATTGGGGGGTGGGGTTAGTTGCGGTTTTCCCTCTTTTCCTTGCTTTCCTTCGCTTTTAAATGGCTTGTAAATACCCGTGCGCATTTTAATTTCACTTTTGAATTAGTGGCAGTTCGGCATCAATTGCTTGAATGGATACAACAAAACGGTGCAACAACAAACTCACTTACAGTATATTAAACGGAACTTTTGTTAACAAACCGAATAAAAATACACCTCTCTCTCTCTCTCTCTATCTATCTATCTATCTATCTAGCGTGACCAGGGTTGCCAGGTTTTCACAACAAAACCCGCCTAATTGCTACTCAAAACTACAAAACGCGGCAAGTATTAAAGTAGCCCAATTCCGCGGGAAAACCACGGACTTGGCAACACTGAGCGTGACTGATACTCGAGCCAACTCTGCTCTAACTGTTGACTAGCAGTGGGAGTCAGATTGCCCCCTAGTGGATGGCTAAAGATTTGTTAACTCGTACTCGTAAATTCTCAAGGGAACGTCTCTGAATTAACTGATGCTCGCGCCCCCCTTGATAGGTGCTGGCGCCCCCTGGGGTTGAAAACCCCTGGTCTAGTGGGCTTTTTCAAGTGCCTGTTCTTCTGCTGGCGGCCGTTTGGCGGCCGTTTATCAAACAGCGATGCATTGCTGCGGGCGCCCCCTTCTGGATTGGGGGTGAATTGCCTGTATTCATTGTAAGGCCTCATGCACCAAACCGAGATGTCCGTACCGTGATGGTTCGGTATGAAATTACGAATACATGTATCGTTCCACCCCTAATGTATATACACCTTGATGTAAAATAAAATAAAAAAAAATACACAGTTTAAATAAAATAAAAATTAGCAAACACTGTGGAACCAAATAAGAAACGTTTGTAAAAAAAAAAACACTTACAAAATCCCCACAGATAAACGTCAAAAGTCAACAGGCTTTTCAAAATTCTAAATATTGTCACATTAATCATTGAAAAAAAAAAACGGTTAAATGATTGGTTATGCATTATTTTATCAGTGCATATGTGCCATATTTTCGTTTTTTTTTTATAAAATCAGTGTAACTACCGTATTGTTAACATCAAAAATGGTGAGTGTATTTCAAGCGATGCCTTTCTCCAATGAGCTCCTCTGCTGGTGCTCAGTTTTTTATGGTTATTGTTTTATAATGATTATATTGTCTTGTCTTTTGCAGGGTAGGAACCCTTTTTTCTTGGAGCCTGCTATCATTGTGGCCATAACTGATGGCAGCAAGCTGACCGGCAGTTCTGGTGTGCAAGACGAGGTGGGTCGGGTGTCAGTATGGGCCGGACTTTGAGGATTTCCTCTGTGATGGCCGTCCTCTGTAGACATGGGTTTCCTATTTTGTTTTTGTACTTTCTATTTCCTGCTTGTTCTTTCCACTTAAACTTTTCCTCTTGATATAGTTCACTCCTTCCTTTCCATATCTTACTTCCATTGTTCTCTTTGACAGTATGACTTGCAGATCTGTAAAAGTAACTGACTGTAGCTGATAAAATGAGCAATAATCAATGTCTCCTAAAGAATTTTTTTCCATTTATTTCTCTGCTCCAGTTACATTTGCCCCTGACAACACCGTTGCCCGGCAGTGAGCTGACCAAAGAGCCCTTCCGATGGGACCAGCGACTCTTCTCTTTAGTACTCCGCATTCCAGGCCACACCTCTCCTGACCCTGAACCAATGGGTGGAGTTCCACTTGATCCATCCCCTATTACGCCCATGTGTGAGGTCACTGGGGGTGTGTATGCATTTTAGCTATTTATAAGTGAAAATTTTATTACTAAAAGACAAATGTGTGGAATAGAAAAGTTAATGAACTCCATGTGTTGGAAGTGAACTCAAATGAAGTCTGCTGGCAATGTATTTTGTATTTCTAGTGCTAGATACTGTATAGTAGTGATGTCTGGTTCTTTTGAACTGTTTTTTTTTTTAATGAACTGGATAAACCAGTAATTGAACTGAACCGTCTGAAAGACTTCACAGCTCGAGTCAGCCCAAATCTCATTCTAAACAGCACTCCAGTTACTCCAACAGTACACTAAACTGAAAACATTATCTTTCGGATATGTCTGACATGCGAACTCTCTGTTGAGGGTTTCGAGAAAAGGAGGCAAAATTGATGTTGCTAATGTCTTTTAATGAATAGTATAAAGTATAAGAAATAAAACACATAACAGGAAATATAACAGTGGCCTGATGGCCGCAGTTTAGAGTCAACACTAATAAGATTCTCTCTGGAGTCATGAGTGGGTGAATGGCTACAACAGTTCTTGAGTCACCAATACACTGAACTGCGGAAACGTTCAGGCTCTGACATGTCCACACAGAACTGATGAGCTGCTGATACAATCATGAGTGAACTGAGTAGTTGACTGAATAAGCGGGCAAAATTTAAGTTTCTTTATGTAAAAAGTGAGGTAAAACTAGTTTATTCAATTTATATGTTTTAGACATGTAAAACATCTGCATTCACAATTGATGGGTGCTTTAATAATAGCATTGCATATATGTGACGTCATTGCGAGATTACGTGAACAAACTGTCCAAAAGAACCAGTTTTTGGGGAAAAGAATCTGAATGCAAAGTAGGGCTGTCAAAATGATTCGAATTTTCTACTGAAATATTATCAAAATTCGAATTATATTCGAATTTAAAAGGCATAATTTCAGTTAGGGGGAAAAAAACGTTTGGCTTCTCTCCTGAGGCCACAAGAGGGTGCATTGAGCAAAATATGCACATTTCTTCAAAGCGTAATAAAATAACGTGACTATCTTTGAAAAAAAGTGCATAATGTTTAAAATAATGTTTATAAACCATATATAATTGATAGTTGTTTAAACAATTAGAAGAAAAAAAACCACACACACCATGCATGTATGTATAGTTTAATACAAAGGATCGAAAACCAATCACAAAGAGTAGGCTACTTTCTTCATTTAAAAACATGAGATACAGTGGGATGGGGAAAAACCGCCATAACGTCTTTAGACATGTTTTTTTTAAAGTTGAACTTTAAAACTTTAAAATTAATTTTACATGGCTTTCTAAACATGCCGCTCTCTGCGAGACGCGAGTGCAACGCTTTTTTTTTTTTTTTACAGCACTAAGGCAAAGAAGAATTAACATCACTGCTGTATAGCCCCTCTGCAAAGGGGTCTCATGATCCTTATGAAGTCAGAAGAATTTGGTTATAAGTGTGTTGAGAGAGAATTGTTCATGAGCAAGTATGTTTTAAGATCACAAGATATTTTTTTCTGTCTTTTGTCTTTTTTTGCATTGAAAATAAAATTTTAAATGGGATATTTATAGGTTTGAGGTTATAGTGTCAATTTAGGCCGCTCTTTAAAAAGCTGTACATTCCCTGCTGAGTAAATGTCAGATCGTACCTGTCAGGTCGTGTTTAAGTGCTGTGAAATGGTGTTTGAATTGTGAATTGAAGAGAATTGCTGATTTGTGGTTAAGGGCAGATTCTGCTGGACTCGCGTGTGCTGACTAACACAGCTGTGTAATAGAGACGAACTGAACTTCACTATAGAGAGAGGAACAACGTCTGTCCTCTCATGCTGATAAAATACAGTATACACAGTAGTGCGGCTACTATGTAGCATGTGTGAATGCATATGTAAATAGCTGTGACCCGCCAATGAACTGGCCAGATAAAAGGCCACATGAAACAGTTTAATCTAAATCCAGAAAGTATTAAGTTACTTTAAATATGAATAGTTGTGGATAAAATTTACATGTAAGCACTTAAGTTAAAGCTTACATGTCAGATGCAATTGCTAAACGTCTTTTAACGGTGTTTTTTTTCTGCTGTGTGTTTAGGCCGCTCATACAGCGTATTTTCCCAGAGAATGCTGATCCAGTGTCTGGAGTCTCTGGTGCAAAAAATCCAGAGTGGTGTGGTCATTAATTTTGAGAAGACTGGACCTGATCCTCCACCTGCTGAAGGTAAAGGAGGTCCTGGTTTTTGTAATTATATTTTGAGTATTATTTCAGTGAAGTGCCTATTAATTATAAAACTGCTATTTATCAATTTTGGCTGTGACCAAAATAGGTGGGTGGATGGATGGATACATCATAAATCCAATGGAGAAAATTGCTATTTTAGTATTCAAACATGAACACTTTTCATCTACAGAAGACATTATGTAATTTACACAGTAGAAATACAGTAAAAACACTAATATTGAGAAATTATTACAATTTAAAAAAAATTATTTTAGTATTTTTTTTAAATGTAACTCCTGCGATGTCAAAGCTGAATTTTCAGCTTTTTGTAACAATTTCAAAATCTTTGTCATGTTTGATCCATTTAATAAGTTCTTAAAGGGGTCATATGATGCGATTTAAAATTTTTCTTTCTCTTTGGAGTGTTACAAGAAGTATTACTTTCTTTCCAAAAACAAACAAAAAAAACTTATTGATCCCAAACTTTTGAATGGTAGTGTATGTTTTACAAAAACTTTAAACCAGGCCATTAATCACTACTCTTTGTTTTACCCAGATGGCCCAATAGAAATGAAGTATGGACCTCAATCATGGCACAGCTGTCATAAGATGATCTATGTCAGACCTAACCCTAAAACTGGTGTTCCAGTTGGTCATTGGCCTATCCCGGAGTCCTTTTGGCCTGACCAGAACTCTCCTACTTTGGTATGAAAAAACTTGTTTCAGTACGCTCTACCATCTGTTCAGTCTGTTTTATATCTAATGTAATGTGTATATGCTCTGTTGGTTTTTCTAGTGTAATGAAAACTTGTAAGCCTTGTAAGTGTACTGTCTGCTCATTTGACTCTGTCCCTCTGCAGCCTCCACGTGCAGCTCACCCGCAGGTGAAGTTTTCATGTGTTGATTCAGAGCCCATGGTGGTGGATAAAGTGCCCTTTGACAAGTACGAGCTAGAGCCTTCTCCGCTCACTCAGTACATACTGGAGAGGAAATCACCGCACACCTGCTGGCAGGTACTGCTCGTATCAGTCTTTAAGCAGAGTTAAACACGCTTGTCAGGCAACTATTAGGCTGTATGTTCTCTGACTACACTAACCTGCACTCCCGCTATGGCTGAATGTTAATTACTGTTTTATTCTATCTCAGGTTTTTGTGTGTAACAGTGCTAAATATGGAGAACTCGGGCAGCCGTTTGGTTATCTGAAGGCCAGCACAGCTCTTAACTGTGTCAACCTGTTTGTCATGCCCTATAACTACCCTGTGGTGCTGCCTTTGCTTGGTAAACTTCATTAGTAATGTCTAATTTATCATATGGAGGTATGAAAATAATAATTCATATAAAGAATTGGTCAGTTTTTCTCTAGTTCTGTCTTGTCTTTAAAATCTTGGCAAGTAAAAAATTAGTTTGTTTGATATTTTATTCTACCAAACTAGAACAAAACTAGCCACTAGTTTTCTTTGAATGTGAATGGATATAACAGTGTCATATGTAACAGTGTTTATCTTTTATAGATGACTTGATTACTGTGCATAAGTTCAAGCCTCCAGCGAAGTGGCGACAATCTTTTGAAAACTATCTTAAAACAGTCCCGCCCTACTATATCAGTGTAAGTAATAGAATCAATAATTTGTTTTAACATTACAACAGTGTGATGGTATCTTTTGGAATGCATTCAAGTTTAGTTTTTTTCATCCTGATTCACCCAGGCCCTGCGGAAAGCACTAAGAATGATGGGAGCTCCAAATCTGTTGGCTGACAACATGGAGTATGGTCTAAGCTATAGTGTTGTGTCTCATCTCAAAAAGCTGAGTCAGCAGGTATGATCTAACATTGCTTGTTTGTATAGTCTTTATTCTTAAAAGTGCTTCATGAAGTTTTGTATTATATTGTGTATATTACAGGCAAAGATAGAGGCAGACAGAGTTTGTGCATTAGTAGGAAAAAAAGCGGCACTAGAAGGCGGGATTAAACTTCGCTGCAGAAGCTCCGCCCTCTCTCTGGCTCACAGGAAAGATTTTACGCAGCTACTGCACAGTATCATGGGAGATGGGCCAGCTCTGCCAATTGAGGCAAACACCAAGGAGTTTGTTGGCTTTCAACTAGCTGCTCTGAATAAAGTATGTATATATTCACAATTCTCAATTTAACTTAAAGGGGTCATATGATGCTTTTTTAAAGATCATTATTTGGTGTAACAGAATATGTTGACATGCTTTAATGTTCAAAAAACACATTATTTTTCAAATACTGTACATTATTGTAGGTCCTCTATGCTCCGCCTCTCTCAAACACTTCGTTTTAGGAAAACTTGAAATCGCATCATATGACCCCTTTAAGTCAGAGTGAGATTAATATTTAATTTTCTTTTTTTTCTTTTTTTTTTGAGGGCTGGAATTGAGTGCAAGTGTTTTACATATATGGCACATTTGCAGTTTAGAATCATGTTTTATGCCTAACCAAGTATTCCAACAGTACTGAGCAAATGATTCATGGTCAGTTCTCACCAAATTAGATCACTTATCTTTGCCATTCTCCTGTTTCCTTCTCTTTTCGTACAGGCATTAAAACCACAAGGACTGCGGAACCCCTATGATATCCCCAGATCTCATCTGCTAGACCAGCTGAGCCGCATGAGGCGGAACCTTCTGCACGCCAGCATCTGCATTCTGAAAGGACAAGATCAAGGTAACATTGACAGCCATGAATGGTTATTGATTTTCTTAGAGCAGTTTCTTGAGTATCTGGGTGATTTGCTCAATCAGATTTAGCTTCTGATTTCCAAAAGAATCGTGAGCCTTTTTATCTGATAAGGTTATGCTCATGATGCTATTTACATGGTACATTTTGAACGTTATTTATATATTTTTATAATCAATATTTTCTAGATCAGCTGCACAGTGTTCCTATAGCTCAGATGGGCAACTATCAGGACTACTTGAAGCATTGCCCATCCCCTCTAAGAGAAGCAGACCCCGATCAGCCTAAACGTTTGCACACCTTTGGTAACCCCTTCAAATTGGACAAGAAGGTACCTTTAGATCTATGGCTTTCAAAAAGAAGCAGTATATAGATTTGACTTTCAGGCAAATAACTGTTTTTCTCTTCTCTCCGTGTCAGGCGATGATGGTAGATGAGGCAGATGAATTTGTTACTGGCACTCAAAGCAAAGGCAAACGTCCTGGAGAATCCAGTAGTCCTGCTGGAGGAGGGGCCCCCAAACGCAGGCGCTGTATGTCTCCGCTGCTTCGGCTGGGACGGGCATATACACCTCCCAAAACACCCCCCAGAAGTAAGTAACCAGTACACACATGCAGAAAAAGCCTTTAGTAGCCGGTCTGGGAATCATTCCACTTAATTCTGGTTTCTTATCAACTCCTTTGGCAATTCTATTAGTAAAATTAAAATAGTAATTCATTCAGAAATTAAAATCCTCTCATTTTCTCACCCTGATTCTGTCCCATTTGTCATGACCAAAACTTTGAGGCTCCAGTTTTATGCATGTTTCAACAGCTCCAGATAGTGATCACACAGAATTGGGCAATCACATCACCAACCATGTCGAGTCAAACCGCAACTCCGACATGGAGCTGAGTCCTGTGCCCGAGTCTGAACCGATCCAGCAGAGGAACCACCTTCAGCTGGATGAGGGTGAGAACCAGCAGGACAGAGTGCAGGAGAACGGCCAGTCCAGCGATAGTGAGTTTTCTCTGGGCAACGAGGGTGAAGAGGAGGCCCCACGCCGCTACCCTTCCCCCTGCCAGCTGAAGAAGATCAGAAACCAAGAGAGCCAGGAACTGAACTCTGAACTCCGAGTGCTCATCACCAAGGAGATCAGGAAACCTGGCAGATGTGAGTAACAGCACACACATACATGTGCAGATATCTGCTACTTGACTCTCATTTCCTCTCCTGATGCTCTTTACTGGATGGTGTCCAATAAGCGAAGGAGGGGTGACGTCCCACAAACGATTTGTCTTGGGCCTTGCGAAATCAGCTGGCCATGCTTGCTGCTTTTGGTACATGTGCAAATCTGTAACATTGTTACAGCTGGTTTCCATTTGTCATTTTTATTTTTACATTGTAATGAAAATTACAGGCTTTAGGAAATTCATTTGTTCGTTTGGTTTTACACTTGTTTTTTGTCATTGCTCATAACACCATACATCAAATCATTCTTCTCCCCCGATGTCCTTTTTTCCTTTGTCTTAATGCAGGTTATGAGAAAATCTTCTACCTCCTTAAGCAAATCCAGGGCAGTTTGGAAACACGTCTGATCTTCCTGCAGAGCATAATCAAAGAGGCTGCCAGGTAAACTCCAGATTCAAATGCAGATTTTTGAAGTAGATGCTAACTCTACATACTGGTATTTGTATAAAGGTTAAAGCCCCAAGTATACTTCCTTTTTTTTTTAAGCATTTTTTAGTGCAAGTGTCTATGGCCTGCATTTGTGTGCTATCAAATAGACTATACTTTTCAGTACGTGCTCAGCAGTACATGTATAAGCGTTCAAAACCGAAGTATACTTGGGACTTTGGGCAAAATTACACTTTTTTTTTTTTTTTTTAATTTTACATTTTTTTTATTTATTCATATAAATAACCCCATGATGTTTTTATAGGCAAAGCTCTAATTACTAATTAAATTACATGCGTCGTGTGTGTGTGTGCGCGCAGGTTTAAGAAGAGGGTCTTGATTGAGCAGCTGGAGAACTTCTTAGAGGAGATTCACTTAAGAGCCAACAGCATGAATCATCTGGACGGTTTTTGAGCACTCCATCTGTCCTACTTGAAGGACTCGCGCGTTTATCTGCACTATTTATGTAATGTAATTTGGGACTTGTGTGTCTCCAGTCTTTATCAGTATTGAAGCTGATTTTATCAATCAGGACTTGATGGGATGTTGCTAAACCTCAGGACTGCGTGAAATGGGAGAAGTTGCTCCTTCTATAACAAATGGTCATAAGCATGCACTGCTCTTTCTTTTTCTTTTCTTTTCTTATCTTTTTTCCCATCTAATTGTGCCAAAGAGAAGTGGTTGAAAGGCATTGGCATCCTCCTTGCTCATTTTGCGTTTTTGTATTCTCCCCATAGTCCTGTGACATTTTCACACGTGGAATTGATCACTTCTATAAATATGTTTTCCTTTAATTTCAGTCGGGAATTGTGCCTCAGCGAACTCACTGCAGCATTCAGTCTGAGCCAAGACAGACGATTTACTGGAAATCACTTTTGTTAGGTTGGATCTCTCTAATAAAGCAATTAAATCAGCAATATTCTACACCAATTAAAAGGCGAGTTACCAAGCCATTCTTTAATGTTGGAGGTTTGAGTGACTTTGAGGTTTTATAATTAAAGTAGACTTGCACACTCAAAGTCATTTGTTGTTTGTAAAATAACTCATCTCAGGAATGATGTTGCAAATGATGTGGCATTTGGCAGCAGAGGAACATCTTTCTGGAATTTTGTTTTCCCAATATTCTTAAAAAGCTCTTTCTCCTTTCACAAAAGCATAGCTTTTTTTTTTTTTTTTAATTTATAAAAACAAATTTGCCACCACCCATCATTAACCATAGATTCAAGCAACTGTTTTGCAATTAGCAAAAGACGTTCTGTACCATGTCATGTGGTTTTCAGACCACATAACCATGACAAACTTGTGAAAAAGGACTGTATCGCATCTCTGAACTATTCTTTATCTCTTGACTAAAAATTGCAAATGACAGTTTTGCAGAGTTCTGAATTTGATTTACTGAAGCAACAACCAGATGTAATAAAACCATAGTAATGAAACACCAGAATGATGTAACGTTAATATTTAATCATTCAGGATTGAGTTAAGAGCCACTTATTCATTGACATGGGATGTTGCTGCTAATGTATTCCTTCATTACTGCCATTCAGTATCCCTTAGCTGTTTTTTTTGTTTTTGTTTTTTTTATCTGTCTTTGTGTATCTCACCCTCTTAACCCTGCACCAGGGACCAAATCTGTTCCATAAATGTTATTGATAAAGATGAAAGGCTTCTTTAAAAAGTATTTTTATTATGCTGTATATATGTACATGGTGACATTGAAAATATTATTTAAAAGAATGTTTTGGTGGAAAGCCTATTTTGTATGTATTTGAATAAAGTCTATTTTACACTGTTAATAGTCATGTAAATAAATGACATTTTTCTGTAATTAATTTCTCAGTGGCACAATGTCATTAAAAGGATTGCAAATCTTCCCATGTTCATTGCGTTTTCCATTCACTTAAACCCATCATTTGAGGGGATAAAGATTCAAGTGGCTTGCCATGTGATTTTTTTCTTTTATATTGCTAACCACAGAACTTAAAGAGATAGTTCACCCAAAAATGAAAATTCTGTCGTTACTTTTTCACCCTCGTGTCATTTCAACTTTGGAACACAAATTAAGATATTTTTGATGAAATCAACAATTTCTTCTCTTCCATGTCAATCTTTTCCACGTGTTCATGAGAGTACCACGATGTATGCGTGTGATGCTGCTGACGCAGGAGCTGGCGTTCTGACATAGAATCCGGATGCGCTGTACCTTGTTTACAAGCAGAAGAAGATGCACACTGTACATAAAACAGTGTATGTCTTTGTAAACATATCTGAAGATTTCGACAGGATGACTGACTTGTTTAGACCAGAATATACAGACGATGAACAAAGAGAGATGGACGTTTTACGTCAGAACGCTGGCTCCTGCGTTAGTAGCACCACACGCATGGAAGAGAAGAAATTGTTGAAGTCGTTATTTTTGTTTTCTTTGAGCACAAAAAGTATTCTCGTAGCTTCATAATATTACGGTTAAACCACTGATGTCACATGGACTATTTTAACGATGTCCTTGCTAGCTTTCAGGGCCTTGAACGTGTCAGTTTTGTTACTGTCTATGCAGGGTCAGAAAGCTCTCGGATTTCATCGAAAATATCTTCAGTTGTGTTCCAAAGATAAACGAAGGTCTTAAAGGTTTGGAACGACATGAGGGCGAGTAACTAATTAATGACAGAATTTTCATTTTTGAGTGAACTATCCTTTTAAAATGATGTATGAAACAGACAGCTGTAGCTACTTGGTGAGTTTTGGTTCTAGATCTCACAAAATTCAACAGTTATTCATGAGCAGTCAATGTGTGGTTTAATACTGAAAGAATTCTTAATTCTGAGCTCCATGAAATCAGTAACTGATGGTAACCAAACATTTCCATCAGAATTGAGGACATTTATTAAGGGCAGAGGGGAAAAATGACAACAGACGCTTTGAAGCGCAAAAACCCTGATGTAATTAAATTTTTATTTACAGATATGTACAAAAGTCTCGTCCCTCTTCCTGAAGCATCAGGGGACCCTCCTAACAGTCCTCAGATATCCCTCTGACCCCCCACCCATGAGGGAGGAGGGGTGAGTTAAGTTGGCAAAATCATGCAAATGTATCCGCCTATGTGTGATTATCATTTGAAGCAGTTGTGATTGCATGTATCATCTCAAGACATCTCGGCTGGATTCAGAACTCGACCTATAAACAGCAATGAACCTGTGGAATAAAAACCTACAAATTAAACTGACTGTCACAAAACGGATGTCATGCAGATCTGTATGCATTTACGTACATTATTAACATTGTTTATGATGATCACTTTATTGGGCAGATTTAGCAGATTCTGCTCAATTCCTTAAATGTAAATGTAATTGACCTCTCTCCCTTAGGTACACTACAAACATTTTGGGGTCTTTTAAAAAGAAATTAATAATTTTATTCAGCAAGGATTTATTAAATTAGACCTTTATAATGCAATTCATAATGTTACAAAATATTTCTTTCACATAAATTGTTCTTTTGAACTTTGTTTTACTTATCAAAGAATCATGAAAAAAAAGATGTATCATGATTTAAACAAAATCTGCTAATTAGCATATTAAAATTATTTCTGAAGGATCATGTGACACTGAAGAGCGGAGTAATGGCTGCTAATGAATTCGGCTTTGCCAGCACAGGAATAAATTACATTTTAAAATATATCAAAATAGAAAATCGTTTTCAATAAACATTTTAAATAATATTTCACAATATTACTGTTTTTACTGTATCTCTGATTAAATAAATGTAGCCCCAGTGGGCCTAAGAGACTTTTGTCAAAAACATTAAAGAATCTTACTAACCTAAAAAAGTTTGGACTGTATATGTACAATTTAATGTGTCAGTGTAGAGTAATTTCAAGAATGCATGTTATCAATTATACTAATTTAGACAATTATAGTTCTAGTATTTACCTGTACTGATCTGCCGTAAGATAAAGAGAAATGGTCGATCTGCTTTAAAAACTGCTGAACGGGATCTTTTCAATAGCACCATTGCTAAAAAGAAAGATTGAGGAAGAAAGCTCAGTCATTATTTCCCGGCCGATTCACAGCTTGAACAGACTGTTCAACTATCTGTCGACTAGAACTGATTCTCATCCAGGTACACACACACACACACCAGGGAGTAGCCTTGCAGAGTGTATAAAACATTACATCATGGAAAAAAATAGTAATAATAAAAAATCGGCTAATATTTCGTAGTATTCAGGTGTGCTTCTGTCATCTTCACCACATAAGACCCCTAAATAAGGTATCTTTATTTAATTTTTGAAAGATTAACAAGGACTTGAGGCCTGTTCACACCAAGAGCGAAAACTATAATAAGTGTCCACACTAACGGACAGTGTTGGGGGTAACGCATCACAAGTAACGCGAGTTACGTAATCAGATTACTTTTTTCAAGTAACTAGTAAAGTAACGCATTACTTTTAACGCGTTACTTTTCCAAATAAGTAACACAAGTTACTTTTTTTTCCAATTTATTGATTGACAGCTCTCCTGTCCCCATGTTGAGAGAAATCAGAAGATGTTACTGTAGTTCTAAAATATATGCATTAATTCATCTCACTCACAAAAAAAAAACACACACAGATTCAGTATTCCTCAAAATTAATAAAAATAATGCAACTCAGAATATGACGCAAACATGCAATAATTAAATGTTAAACAACACAAATATCCTTTATGTATTTAATCCCATTCTATTAACCAATGTCTTTGCTTCTGACCTTCGATGATCCAGTTCAACCATACTAATAAGCAAAAATTACTCTAGACAAACATTTATGTGTCTTTGTTTATTGCTGAAGTGTGTTGAAATGTCTTCTTCTGCATTCTACTGTACGGACGTAAATTTACTTTCCCTTCAGCCTGAGGCTTATTCATTTCACTTTAGGTGTGAAAAGGCTTTTATATTTGCCAAAAATAGAACTTTTTTATTTTAAAATCAAACAAGCAAGCCCTGTCCAGATTTAAAAAGTAACGCAAAAGTAACGTAACGCATTACTTTTCATAAAAAGTAAATAAGCAACGTAATTAGTTACTTTTTTATGGAGTAACACAATATTGTAATGCATTACTTTTAAAAGTAACTTTCCCCAACACTGCTAACGGATGCTAATGTTGTGTTTATTTTAAGCATGCGCTGCAGTTTTTTTCATCTGCTGCTTTAAATGCATAAGCTCTTTCAAGCAGGATAGATTCTGATTGGTTGTATATGTTTTTGTCTTTCATCAGATGGGAACTTTTTTTTTTTGAAAATGATTACAACGATATTGTTCCTCTGTCATTATCATAATAGTTGTGGTGTAGTTATACATTTAGAACAATTTTTTAAACTATACCCGTAGCATTGTTATGGTCGTCTTGGTCATCTATTATCGTCTTTGGTGTGAACAGGCCTTTAAAAGTTAACATACTGAAAATTTTATGTGACTACTTTTTTTTTTTAGGCGTAACACGTCTATATTATGATCTTGGTATCTCAATGTAGAATTAGATCAGTCTTCATTAACATTAAACAGACAATGCTTGATATTTATAGGTGTTCCTAAACATTTATCTTATTTTCAACTTCCACGCCCATTTTTTTCAGCAAGCAAAATATGACATACCTGTAGCTGAAGCTGCTTTTGTCCCTTGCTCTGTCACTTCTATTCTTACCTCATGGAAAGCCTCTGATACAAAAAGCCCTTCCCCATCTGTAGACATATTAAACAGAAGACTTAATCTTCACAGAGTGAATCATTTATTTAAACTGATGGTATGTGTGATTATTTCTCAGCATCTATGACTGGTATAAACTGTTTTGGGTTTAACTTTCCTACCTGAGATGCCTCTAAAATCAGCAGCTGAGGGACTGAAGACATCAGAGATACCGAGAGACTGTAAAACAGGCTTCAGATTGAACCTGCTCTGCATCTTAAACCTAAAATACACACAAGACAGGGATATAAATACTATTAATTTGAAATCTCATTTGCATATAATAATAGTTCACAGAAGCCGCACCCCCTCACTGGAATTACCCAGGTCTCCTTGTGGCCGAGACAGAATGTCCTGCACTCGAGCATCTGCGAGGAGACCATGATTTGTATCATCATAACTGCAATGTTAACTTTTCAAGCATTGGACAGTGGCAGGTAGGCAGGTTGTCAGACATGGCTGATGTATATTTTGAACTATTTAAGACAACAACATACAGGTGTGTCACTAGTTTCCTCTTACCATTCACGTCATATCCCAGAGTTCCCTCAAGTTGTGCTAGAGTGTTTCCCCTGGCACCGAGCTGCAGAAGACCCAGACACAACGAGACACTGGCTGCAGACACGATCAGGTTGGAGTTGTTCTCTGTCTCTGTGAGTGTTTGGTAGAGGCTGACGCCAAACTGTGTGTGTAGATCATTGAGGCTGTTGCCCAAGCTACTGTTGCCATGACAGCGCTCCAGCAGCCACAGACAGAGGATCAGGGAAGTCACAGACAGCTGATGCATGATCAACAGGTCAAAATCTGCAAACACAAAATTATTAGGAAAGCGTTTTCCAGAACAGCTCAAAAATGAATCATGCATTCACTTACACTAGAAAAAGTTGAAATCTCTCTCTCTCTCTCTCTATATATAATATATATTAAAGAGAAGGCAAGGGATCATTTCCACTTGATCTAAACTTAATAAATTACTTTGGTTGGTGTAACCCTTGATTCAGTACAAAATAATACTACTATCACCCACTTTTCAGCAGTTCAACATTTGCAAGCAAGGTTAAAGTTGGTTAATCTTTATAATAGGTTTTATTCATTTTTAAGATTAGCATCTTAATTGTACTGTTGCGTAGCCTCAATTCTGAATGAATGTAAAAATTAAAGTATAATTTACCAAAAAATGTAAATTCTGTCATAATTTACTCACCCTCATGTCATTCCAAGCCTGTATGACTTTCTTTCTTCTGTGCAACACAAAAGAAGGTATTTTGAAGCATGTTGTAACCGCATAGTTTTTGTGACCATTGATTTCCATTGTGTGGATTAAAAAAAAAATGATTGAGACATTTATCAAAATATCTTCTTTTATGTTTATCAGATGTCAAATTTGAAATAATGATGACAGAATTTTCATTTTTGGGTGAACTATGCCTCAGCATCCATATATCAAATATTAATGCAAATTGAAACACTGCAATGATTTACACAGTGTAAATCACAATACAGAAATAATGAAATTAAACTTCTGAACAGAAATCCTTAATACATTTATATAGATTTATATTGATATCGAACAAAATATAGGCCTTTAATTAAAATATAAAGTATAATAAAAAAATAAAAACAAAATATAATTGAAATGTAGGCTATGATTGAATTCAAATATTTCAGAACTTCTGACCTTCCGGCTCGTCCTCTGGATTCCTTGAGTGTCTGCTGCTCCTGATGTTCAGCTCCACTATCACTGTCACTCACGCGCTTTGCTTTAAGTGCGTTCGCCCTGATCCTCCACGCAAGGACAACTGATTGAAAGAGTTGTCGATCATGAGACCTTGTTTAAAGGGAGAGCTTCGTGTTTGTGGTCTCCGGCGGCGATGTCCGTACCACTCGGTCAGAATTCCTGCCTCCCGCCCGGCACTATAAGGAGCAAGGCAGAGGGAGGCATGCGCTCGACCAGCAAATCCGCACTCGAGAAGTTCAGCCTCACACACACACACACACACACACACACACACGTTGTGTTTCCATGTTTTATGGGGACATTCCATAGGCGTAATGGTTTTTATACTGTACAAACCGTATATTCTATTGCCCTACACCAACCCTACCCCTAAACCTACCCCTCACAGGAAACTTTCTGCATTTTTAGATTTTCAAAAAAACTCATTCTGAATTATTTATAAGCCTTTTGAATTATGGGGACACTGAAAATGTCCTCATAAATCACCTTCTCGTTGTAATACCTATGTCATACCCATGTTATTATACAAATTTGTGTCCTCATAAACCACATAAACATGCACACACACACACACACACACACACGTTGTGTTTCCATGTTTTATGGGGACATTCCATAGGCGTAATGGTTTTTATACTGTACAAACTGTATGTGCTATTGCCCTACACCAACCCTACCCCTAAACCTACCCCTCACAGGAAACTTTGTGCATTTTTACTTTCTCAAAAAAACTAATTCTGTATGATTTATAAGCTTGTTTCCTCATGGGGACCTCAAAAATGTCCCCACAAGGTCAAAATTTACTAGTATTATTATCCTTGTGGGGACATTTGGTCCCCATAACGTGATAAATACCAGGTACACACACACACACACACACACACACATAATAGAGAGAGGAAGTCATTACACAAGCAACTTGTTCTTTTGATAGAGTATGCCATCCCAGCTATAACACAGGGCAACATGCTACATCAGCATTTCTGCATGAGATGCCATTTAACATTTAATATTCCTGTGTAATTAATGCCAAGGTGTGAACTTTACCAAACTGTTAACATCGGCATGTGCTTAATCAAATGTCTAACCAACTATTTTCATTTTGCTATTTCTAAACAACTATTTTGCTATTTTCAAATATTTCTATATATTTTTGGGTTGTTTCAGAATACAAAATTACCAAGACACGCCACTACCGTTCAAATGTTTTTTGATTGACTGGTTGATTGAATAAAAGAAGTATGTTATATTCACCAGGCTGCATTTATTTAAACAAAACAAATTAAAACAACAATATTGTGAAATAATATTAAAATGTAAAATAATGTTTTCTTTTTTAATATATTTATAATAAAATGTATTCCCGTAAACGCAAACTTTCAGTCTTCAGTGTCACATGATCCTTCAGAAATTATTTTAATATATCGATTTAGTACTCAAGATTTTTTATTAGGTTATTATAATCACAGTTGACGGATGTGCTACTTAATATTTTTGTGGAAACCAGGATTCTTTGATTAAGATAGAAACAAAAGAACATTTATTTTAAACAGTTGTTGTAGATAACTGTATATTCATTGTCAAAGTCAGATCTCCACCGTAATTGGAGTGTCCATAAATGACCCTAATGGATTGAAGAGACATTTTTCCCATGGTAAACTGCAAGCGGGAAGTGATCAGTAAGCATCAGGTATTTGGATGGTGCCCATCAGATGGCATGTTAATTAGTAGAACCAACTTGGCAGCAGTCAGTGGAGAAGACAGATTCTTTAATTCCAGTATTCCAACCATGGCATTTGAATTTTTAAGATGGGAAATGATGATGGGAAAGTCACGGTCACTTGACCAAGGACAATGAACCCAAAGGAATGCCGGCCAAAGTAAACAACTCCTCTTTCATCTTGAGGTCAGATGTTTAAAAGTTGGTATAAACATACTTTGAATACAGAAGGTTTTTTAATGGGTCAAATGTTGATGGACTAAAACATTAAAAGATTTTTTTTTTTTTAATGTCTAAAACATTTGGACACGCTTTGGTCCCCTTTAGTTACAAATTGGACAGTTCTAAGTGGAAGTAGCCTACCAAGGTGTGTGACATTCACTGTCTGGACATACTACTGCAGGTTCAGAATTACATTCTGACAATTGAGTATGTAGTGGATTGCTATTTAATATATTAGTGTCGTGATGATGATGATGGTGGTAATATTATTATTATTAATATTATATTACATTTATAGCGGTAATTATAATTATTATACAGGGTGAGTACTAATACAAATAACTGCTAATAATATGCATCAGTACTGTTATAAATATTAATACATGTGTATATTGATACACATTAATAGTAGAAGTTATTATTATAGGGTGAGCAGTACTACTTGTGCTATAGTGTATAGTAATAATTATTTTTAAATTAATTACTATTACTGTTAATAATAATTATTATTATTATTCAGCAATATAAGTAATATTGGTCACTTCAGTTTAGAGACCAATTCTCACTATTAACTATTAACTATGACTTTTGCCTCAATAAACTCCTAATTTGCTGCGTAATAGCCAGTAAGGTAGTTGTTAAGGGGTAGGATTAAGGGATCTAAAATATGGTCATGCAGAATAAAACATTAATATGTGCTTTACAAGTACTAATAAATAACCAATATGCTAGTAATATGCTAGTTAAATGAGAATTGGTCCTTAAAATAAAGTATTACCGTAATATTGCTTACCCTATAATAATGTTATAATTACAACTAGTAATATTTTGCATATATTATATAGTATATATTTTGTAATAATTGTATTAATATACACATGTATTAATATTTATAACAACAATACTAGTACTACTTATTATTATTGTTGTTCTTCTTTTTCTTCTTGTCTGAAATTCTGGCATTGTAACCCAGCATGTTTAATCTACAGCTGCTTCACAGGAAGTGACTTCATTAGAACTGATTTATATTCTAGCAGGGAACTATAGTGCTCGCTGTCGTTCACCCCTCCTGCCCTATTTCTGTAGCTCTATGGCTGCTGGACAAGATTAACAGAATCCCAGTCCAGTGCCGGAGCGCAGTAGCACTGAGAGCCGGTATTGCCGTAGCGATGTGCCAGGTACGCTCATGGGATTAGTTGGGAACGGGTTGGGAGTGTTCTGGCACTGAGAGAGGGGCAACTCACAAGGGCGAAAGCCGGGCGTGCCTGTCTTGTGTGTGTATATATGTGTGCGTGTGCAAGCATCAACAGGTTACGTGAATGTAATGAAACATGAACATCTTTGAACTTTGACCCTTCATTCAACCAAGTTTTGAAAATAATTGTAAGATTTATATAGGTAACTGATAGCTTGAATAGTTTGATTAACAAGTCTGCATCTTACTTTACAATGAAGTGTAAGACTTGTCTCCTGTGTTTGAAAACATGAACATATTGGCAACATTATGCATAAGATGCACTGCATTTGGATAAAGAATTTCGAAACGATTTATAACAGGACCCAGTGACCAAATGTTGTAAGTTTTTGACTTTCCACAATTAATTATTTATTTATTTTTTTCCTCAAAGAAACAGCTGCTAACCCCTATAATAACCATTATCATTTTTTTTGTTTTATTACATCAACAGCAAGTAATTCACACCATGAACTGAATAAAAATATAATAATTTTATATTTGTAAACGCAGACATTAATGAGTTCCTTGATTATTTTCTTATCTATCCATATAATCATTGATATGACATCTGTCACTGACAAATATTTAAAACAAAATATTTACATATAATTTAAAATATGCAATAATGTCATTCATGCATTCATGTCAAGAAACAAACAATTTTCTTAAACTCTTATACAGAACAAATGGTGAAACTGTACAAATTGTACAGTTTTCAATATTTTCTCTAATAGTGACTTCTTGTGGCATGACAAGTGTCTAGCACAGGGCTGTCCAAACTCGGTCCTGGAGGGCCGGTGTCCTGCAGAGTTTAGCTCCAACCCTAATTAAACACACCTGAACCAGCTAATCAAGCTCTTACTAGGCATATAAACTTCCAGTCAGGTGTGTAGAGGCAAGTTAGAGCTAAACTCTGCAGGACACCGGCCCTCCAGGACCGAGTTTGGACAGCCCTGGTCTAGCACTTGTATATTTACCATGTTCAACCACTAGGTGGCATAGTTTTATTCTTCGTTGAGCTTTCTGACATAAGCAATGAAGCTCTTTTGTTATTACAACTATTATGAAACTACAGAATACCACAACAAACAACAAATACACGTCAATTTGATTTAGTCTTAAAGTCATTCATTATGAATGCACATTCTTAAGCATGGCCTGTTGCTAATAAAACAAATGTACTATAGAAAAACGCTTAAACATAGTTCACTCAAAAACAAAATACTCACACCAAAAATTCTTTCAACCCTTTACTCACCCTCATATTGTTCCAAACCCGTAAGATTTCGGAACACAAATTTTGATATTTTTAAGTAAACCTGTTTTTGTCTTTCCATTAAAAGTCAATGTGCATGTGTGTGTACATATTTGAGCTTAAGTGATTACCATATGTGTTTATATGTGAATAAATGCCTAATTAAATCTGCTCATCATATAAAGTGATCATATCTCTTCACAAGACTTATTAAACCACAATTATGGATTAAACTGCTTGATTCCTTTGTCAACGCCTTTATGACCTGAAGTTTTGGTTACCTGGACTTTCAATGAAGGGACAGAACCATCTTAGGTTTCATTAAAATATCTTAATTTGTGTTTCAGGTGAGTCTTATAAGTTTAGAACGACATGAGAGTGAGTAAATGATGAAAGAATTTTCATTTTTGGGTGAACGATAGGTTTAAGGGTTTTCCACGTTTAAATACTTAGCTGCTTAGTGCTTACAATTATAGAAGACCTCAACATTTCAATTTTTTGTTTACCCAAACTCCTGGAGACCTGCTGATGAGATGATTGTACTGCATGTGTCAGATATAAAATTCTTGCTCTTCCTCCACAGTGCCTTCTTGACTACAGTCATTTACTGTCAAAACGCCATTGCCGTTCTGCTGTCCTTTGTCTTGCAACACATCCTTCACATTCTTTGGCTGTGGTTTGTGTACTACACAAGGTGTGGATTTTGCAAAGATGCTCTGTGTTCTAGATGGCACAGGAGTCTGTCTTATTTGGGAGGTATTATTATAGGTCAGATCAGCAAAATCAAGACCTCCATCTGTTGGAGGAGCAGACTTAGGCCGTGGTGCTGGGGCCTTTAAATGGGGCCTCTGCTGTGGATGGGAATAACCTGAGACCACCGACAGGTCCACAGAGCTGCCACTGATGGTTTTTCCCGTGTCTACATCTGTCTCTTCGGCTCCCACTAGCGTATCCACATTGACACGGAAAATGGGAGCAGCCATGGAAGAGAAGCAGCGAGGACGGAAGCTTGACGGAGAGGCACACGAGGAGCGGGACTCGTCTGTAGGCAGAGAAAAGAGGGACTGTGTGCGGTGGCCTGTCCATCTTGCCCATAAGAGCTCCACATCCCTCTGGAGCCTCTCCATGTGACCATCTTGATCACACAGTGTAGGTGGAGACGTCCTGGAGGTGTGTGTGACTGGAGACAGAAGGGTCTGGGTCTGCGAACGCGATGAGTTCCGGTGGTAACGGCGATTTCGATAGGAGGCGGGCCCGCGGCCGTATGGTGGAGGAGGCGGAGGGGGCGGCTCGGGTGGAGGAGGGGAGGTAACCAGAGGATCTTCAGGAGGAAGGTGACAGAACTTTGCAATAGTGTGTTTGCGGTAATACCGTGAACCTTGAACCTGACAAAGTCAAAATGAGAGCATGAAATTATGTGCAATTAATAGGCAATGTTCAGGACACCATTTATGCAGATCCTAATACCTTTTTTTTTTCATTTAAGATACTGTATTGATAATAAAATGTACACAAACATTACCATTCAGACGTTTGGAATGGTAAAATTTAAAATATTTTTTTTTTTATATTTTTGAAATAATGCTTAGCAAGACTGCATTTATTTGATCAAAAATAGGCCTACAGTAAAAACAGTAACAGTAAACCTCAATGTGTGATATTAAAGGGATAGTTCACCAAAAAATGAAAACTCTGTCATTAATTACTCACCCTCATGTCGTTCCTAACCCAAAAGACTTCGTGCATCTTCGGAACACAAATTAAGATATTTTTGATGAAATCTGAGAGCTTTCTGACCCTGCATACACAGCAACGCAACTGACAAGTTCAAGGCCCAGAAAGGTAGCAAGGACATCGATAAAATAGTCCATGTGACATCAGTGGTTCAACCGTAATGTTATGAAATGAAGAGAATACTTTTTGTGCGCAAAGAAAACAAAAATAACAACTTAATTCAACAATTTCTTCTCTTCCGTGTCAGTCTTCGACGCGCGTTCACGAGAGTACCACGACACAGGCATGTGCATTCCTCTGCTTGAAAACAAGGCGCAGCGCAGCGCATCCGGATTCACGCATACATTGTGGTACTCTTGTGAACGCACGTCTACTGGCACAGAAGAGAATAAATTGTTGAATAAAGATTAATGACACATGCAGGACAGTCATCTCATCAGCATGTATGCAGGTCTTTAGGTAAAAAATTGAATTTTGAAGTCTTCTATCATTTAAAGCTGTAAGTTTTGCCTCTTTATCGCCATCTCTGTTTGAAAACCTGCAATTGCAGCTGTGTGCGGAAGGTACAGACTTCATACAACTACCACTGCTTTACAGACTACAGCCCAAGATCCAGTTCACATAAGTGCCACAAATACATTTTTGTCACTTTTCAGCCACGTTCTGAGGCGAATGTTGCTTATATTTGAGGTGCTGGTAAATGAGCATGATTCATTCAGCTGTCAGTATGAAAGCAGGGTCAGATCCCCGTGGGGGCGAGTGACCCGTCGGATAAAGACTCGCGGAGGCCAGCTGGACTTTAACTCGGTGTCAAGGACCCTTCTCATGCTGGCATTAACATAACAACATAACAGACTGTATTCATTAGGATCCGTGTTTGTGTGAGTGACGTGTGCGCCGTCAGGCGTCTCTTCACCTCGCTCGCTTTCAGCGTTTGCCTTCAGCGTTCCTGCAGGATTACAGCCTGTGCCGTTCAAAATGCTGCGGGATTTAATGAGCCCAGCTGTAGATTACTCATCTTTAACAATGTCTGCTCACAGCGCTGGTGCATAGAAACACACACACACACACACATCATTATTTGTAACCACTCACTCACTGCAGGAACTGGATAAAGCCTATAGGGGGCAAGTTGTCACGCCTCTTTCTCCAGTGACTATTTCCCCAGATAAGAGGGAAAGTTCTGGCAAGGTTCTTTTAAAGGGATAGTTCATTACTCACCCTCATGTCGTTCCAAACCTGTATGACCTTTGTTCATCTTCGGAACACAAATTAAGATATTTCTGATGAAATCTGCATCACACGCATGTGTCTTGGTGCTCTCGTGAACGTGCGTCAAAGACTGACACGGAAGAGAAAAATTATTGAATAAAGTCGTTATTTTTGTATTCTTTGTGCACAAAAAGTATTCTCGTAGCTTCATAAAATTACGATTGAACCACTGATGTCACATGAATTATTTGAACCATGTCCTTACTACCTTTCTGAGCCTTGAATGTGGTAGTTCTGTTGCTGTCTATGCAGGGTCAGAAGGCTCTTGGATTTCATCAAAAATATCTTAATTTGTGTTCCGAAGATGAATGAAGGTCTTACGGGATTGGAACGAAATGAGGGTGAATAATTGACAGAATTTAAATTTTTGCATGAACTATCCCTTTAACCTCCTGAGACCCTGTGACCTCACATGAGGACATTATATTTTGGTGTATTTCTCTGAGACTATACATGCCACAGTTGTAAGTCTGGATGTCCTGTACAGAGCACATTCAGGGCTTTTCAGAGATACTAAATGTTTGGATGTTTCACCATGACCACTCCCTCTCCTTGGTCTTCAAATATGTCTGATATTAATTTAGTGACACTCTTATGGAAATATGATAATATTTTGTAATTATCATTTAAATCGGTCTAATTTTTAAACTGTGTGTCATAAATCAACATCTCAGGAAAATGTTATGGGGCTTCAAATCAAAATATGACTTCCTGTTATGAAACAGGACATAAGGAAAGAAATTATGTTTAAATATTCTATGAAATATTATATATTATTATGAAAATCTTGTCAAATATTACTCCCATTATTACACTTGTTTTTTCATTACATGTTGCCCCAAAAACACATTAATATGCAAACTAGATTTAGTTTATAGATACATTGTATATAATGAGAAAACCCGTTTATGGCCATTTTACACACATTTTGCAGAAAGAAAAATGGTATATCAAATCATTCTGTTATAACATAGTTGAGAATCATCTTTATACAAAGTTTGGTAAAAATAAAAATCCTGAAAACTAAAAATGTATTTGTGATTTTAAAAATCTATTGTTTTTGCCTATGCATGTTCATTCATGTCTTTTTATTTTTTTTAAAAATTGAGTCCCGATGTCCTCTACCGTTTTTTCCTAAAAATCTTTTCTCGGGTCTTAAGAGGTTAAGGATTTTTTGATTAGCTTATGTATAATACATTTGGTCCCCATTTAACAATCTATGTAAATATAAAATCTGATCTTAAAGCAAAACAAGTTAAGAACCAGCTGCTTTAAATCTTGCACTGTTTACATGGCAACATAATGAACAACATGAACTCTTTGTGGAGGATGATTCTGCAGTGAGCTGTCAAAATAGTTTAACATTAAACAAAAATAGCTTGGGAAAAGGAGCCATGTTCCTGCAAATGCCAAACAAAACACAATGTGGGAATGTGGCTTTGATAAGGTAACTGTATACCTGTGTGTGTATGTGTGTGAGTGAGTGAGAGGGAGAGAGAGAGAGGAAAAGAGGAAAATTTCTTGTTAAACGTAGCAAGCATTGTTGAGTGTGTGTGCATTAGAGTAACAAAGTTCCACTGTTTTCTGCTTCACACCTCACTGCACATTCCCTCCATCCCTCTACCTCGATCATTTTCCTCTGTTGCTTTATTTAGCTTTCCATCCATCTTTGAGCCTCTTTGTGCCCTTCTTCCTCACTGCTCCACTCACACATTTCCCACGTTTTCCACATTCATATATTTCTCTCATTATATGCCATTATATTCATTTTGTATGTGCTATATCTCCCTCAAAATAGTATATATTTTCCTTTTCCACTATGGGGTTTCTCCGTGGGTCCTTGCAGGGTCCAAATTTATGGCTCATTGAGCACTGAATGTGAGTAAAATTGTAAAAAATGTACGGTTTTGTAAAAATGTTGTATTTAATTAATTACCGTATCTTATGCATTTACAATATCGTTCTAAAGTTTGGGGTTGTTTTTGAAAATAGTCTCATATTTATGTTCTCAACAATACAGTAAAAACAGTACATTTGTGAAATATTGCAATTTACTGTTTACTTTTTATTTATTCCTGTCATAGCAAAGATTTGAGAAAAATTTTCAGCAGCCAAATTTTGAGGAGACTTAGGTAAAGCGAGGGAGCTTCTCTATATGTCCGTATATACAACCAGTTCAGCTTGTTTTTTTTTTTAATTTGAAAGATAATTTGTATTATGTGTGAAATCCTCTCTGTGCCATTTGGCACCAGCAGGGGTTGATTAGTAATGAGGCTGTACTAGTTGTAGACAGAGAGCCAAACCTGCTTTGATCGCAGCTAATCCAGGTCAGGCAGAATTGACCTGTATGTGCTGGTGTGTTACTTAATTTGGCTGTCTTTAGGTTTGTTTGAGTATTTTTACACACACATAATCACACAAACACAAGAGGCCAGATGTGTTTGGATCTAAACCAGGACACATATTTTAAAAATCAATTTGTACAATTTATGCGATATCTTGCATGTTTGTATATAATTTTTTTCCTGTATGCAACTCTGCAGTGTGTTTAAGCAGTAATGTTCAGTTCAACTGCTTGGGCTGAATCCTGAGTTCAATATCAGTTTGGCTCAAAACTGTGGTACATTTGTGTCATCAATGTAGTTACAAGCAGCAGTTGTTTTCAACAGTAGCTAGGTAACGACTCGGGAGGTCGCACTGCTTAACTTTTGTCAATTTTGGTTTGTTTGGTTTCTACCAAAACAACCTCAGGATGGCACTGCAAGAGAATGTGAGCTGCTCTCTGAAGGTAATCTGCAGAGACAACCAGTAATGAAAAACTGATTCACAACTCTGCTTGCAGAGCATCATTACAGAGCTCAAATGTGATTTCAGGGACCTGAGTTATGGAAGCATTTTCCTCATTATTTTTCTCCACAGGCATGAAAGAAAATATCTGAATAAAGAGCTCTAAGCCTTGAACCACACCAACTCTGAGATGAATCACAATACATCATTCAAAGCTAATAAGAAAATCTAAAGGTAAGATAAGGTTCAAAACTATGAAAGAACTACTCCATCCCATAGAAAATTAATAATGAAATTAGTCTACGATAACTGAGTTTGTAGTCTAACACTACCACATCCCATATTAACTCATGTTAGGTAGTTGGCATTTGGCTATTGTTACCTAGTTAGTCACAGTTAATTTGCCAAAACTCATCACAATCCTGTTTGCTATGATTTTTATTTATTATTAATGGTAACAGTGACTTGTCAGATTGCCAGGAATTCTTGAACTAAAGTTTTATTTTTATTTTTTAATGGTAAAAGGTTTCAAAATGTGTATTTGTAGTTGATACATAACATGTCATGAGTTTTTTAAACCAACATTACAAATTTAGGTTAACATATGAATAATACATACAAATATTAAAATATATTAAAGGGGTCATATGATGCGATTTAAAGTTTTCCTTTCTCTTTGGAGTGTTACAAGCTGATTGTGCATAGATAAGATCCCTGAAGTTGCAAAGACTAAAGTCTCAAAACCAAAGAGATATTCTTTATCAAAGTTAAGACTCTGCCACACCCCCCTAAAACGGCTCGTTCTAACACGCCCCCACATATCTAGGTCACTATGTGGGAATATTTGCATAATGCGCCCAAAATAGATAAGTGCATTTCATTTTTTACATTTCATTAACTTTTTGCCTTCACTAATTTATTTCAACAGTCCTGTGGTGTGTGAAAATTATTTAGCATGTAGTTCCATGTAGACTCTCAAGAGTTCATATAACGTTATGTACAATATATATTGCATAGCATGCCATACTGCAACTTTATTAACTCTTATTATTATAACACTCACATACTTTAGAACAATCTAAAGTATGTGAT